TTCAGACAGAGAAACTGGCAGGCAAAGTCTCCAACAAGGCAAAGCTGGCTCTGGACTCTGTCATTGTTTGGCCTCAGTCTCCCTTGAGTCCCTGACTCTGATGGCACCAACTTGTCTCTCTCTGGCAGTGCTGATGGACTACAGAGGCTTTATCTGGAGGCTAATGGCTCTTGCACAGCTGATACAAGACAGTCACGCTGAGGGACTAGTAGTGGATTTATGGAGCGATGGTCCTGAGTAATGGCACTGCAGATTTCAAGCCATCTCTCAGCTAAGTGAGCCCAACATGCCCTGCCTCAGCTTCCTCCAGAGAAAACAGGGTCACAAAGCTGCTGCTTTAACCAGCACTGAATTAAAATTGCAGATGACCATCCGCTGGACAGACCTCATATACTTGCTGGAAGAGTTGTCTTGTGAGTGGAGGTGGAAGTGCCTTTTTGCCCACAGCTGGAAGGGCAAGAGATAAACACGGGAAGTTTCCATCTTGCTTGATAGATGCCCCTTTGGGGAGCACAGCAGCCTGGAGACCTTGCCAGAGCCTTGCCAGAGCCCAGGAAATATGTGTTCTCTTCTTAGATCTGCATGGGGATTTAGAATAGTGGTCTGTTACTCCTTTCCAGCCCCCAAATGACTGTCTTGTCTTGGAGACCAGCTTTGGAACATCCATCACTTGGGACATGAGTAGGCTGCTACCCGGGAATACAGCACCCTGCTGTGGGCCCAGCTAGCATAAGGGATTGTCCATCACTGTTCCCTTGTGTGTGCACACCTGCAAAGATAAGAGTGTCCTTCCCTTTCGCCAGCTGGGGACACACCTAGACCTAGGCCAGAGGTGTGGCAAGGAACCAAGGGGGTGGCAGAACATCATCCCTGACCCACCCATGAGAGGGGTTCAGCCCCTCACCCCCTCTAGCAGACAGTTTAAACTTGCAGAGATCCACTCCAGCTATTCCTCAGTCTTTCCAGGGCAACGTGTCTAGAACAACCTGCTTCCCTCCATCTATCTACAGAACAAACCCAGGACTGCCAGAAAAGAGACAGGATACTGCAACTTGTCTAATTTGATTTCATTTTACTTCTTTTTTATTTTCTGAGCTCTCAGGAATGTGCTCAGTCTGGATTGAGGTTACAACCCTAGTAATGCCTCCCTGCCTCAAAAACACCCAAACTGTTACCATAACAACCTGACTCTGTGCTCTATTACCATGGCGATTCTCAGGAATTATTGAATACTGTGTATGTTTGGTGCAGGTGCTCCGATACATTTGGTGCCAAGCTCAGGTTGGGATTCTTCTTCCCCCCACAATCTGTCTGTCTGTCTCATCATGTTTAACTCTTCCATTCCCTCAGTCCAGGCTGCCAAGGCAGGGGAAAGAGGTGGGTATCATCTGGGACTTTGGCGTTTTCCCCACCACAGGGACATCTGTACGACCAGCGTTTTCCAGGTGGGTCAAGCCACCTCTTTATTTCTGCAATTGTACAGCCAGTGATTCCATAAGCAGAGGACTTCCCTTTTGCAGGCAGTTCAGCAGGGGGAAATTCTCTCACTTGCCTTTCTCTGCTGTCTCCCTGCTGCCTGTCTAGAAAGAAGAAATTCCAGCTGGAGCAGAATCACAGCAAGTGGGGACCAGGCCAGAGACAGGGAGCTGTGCCTGGAGGAGGATGGTGAAGCTCCAGGACAGGTTGCTCTTGGTGGGCAGAACAACTTGACTGACCACAGAGTCATAGAGTCTAAGAATCATTAACGTTGGGAAGGACCTCAAAGACCATGTACTGCCTAAAATCATGGATGTTTTCAGAGGAGGGATGCAGACTAGATGGACCAGTGACTCAGAGCAGTCTGATGAGTCCGACGGGCTTGTGTTCCACTGCAGGAGATTTTAGATGAGACTCAAAGGCTGGTCCTCAGTCTGCCACTGATGTGATGATCTTTCTGAGCACATCCCTTCCCTCCCTGTCCCTCCAGCAGCATCTCTCAGTCATTCTTGAGCAGCTACTGGCACCCCAGTGGTACTCTGGAAATTATCGTGCTACAAGCAGCAATTAACAAAAAAAAAATTAAAATCTAGTAATAAATAACAGTTTAAAAAAATCCAGTTTGAATTTTCTTGGGAGCTGGTACCCACTTGTGAGCTTACGCTAAATGAGTAGGTGTAAGATGAAAAACCACAGCTTGTGGGGAAAGGCAGCAGAAAGAGCTGTTATGGTCTGCTTTCCTCAACAAGCCCTTCAGTAGCAACCTCATCCACTAGCTGCAGAACTCATGCACTCTGGGGCAGGGCAGCTGGGTTTTCAGGATCTGAGATCACAGCTCTTCCTCTGACATCTGGGGAGCATCGTGGTACCCTCAGTACTTTCCCTTAAGCAACCATGACTTCACCTCAAGATGGTCATTAGACTCATAATCTCTGATCCAAGGGGTTCCTTCATGACGCCAACCTGCTTTTCCACAAATAATTCCTCTTCGGTGGGGTAACCAGCCTTTTATTGGGAGTCTAATGGGATAAGGATGTGCGCCAGTGTTTTAAGTGTCTTAACCCCTGCACAAGGAAGGCAGAAGCATACTGGGACATGTGCTGTAATATGGCAAATGTGGATGGTGCCACTAAATGATGATCTGAGGATCCTCCTCTTGATCTACACAATCTGGTAATTCAGACATATCCCTGATGCCAGGAAAGAGCCACAGCATGACTAGAGGATGGACAAGCCAATGTAAAGCTAGGCTCTTGACCCGAGGACCCATGTGGAAAATGTTCCCTCTCTCAGCTGAGTCCTGAGCAACCTCCACCTGCCTCAGCAGGGGCCCAGCTCTGCTTTCTGGGATGTTTCATTGCTCCTGCAGCTCACGTGTTACATGAGCCTACTGTGGATGATGTTTCTCCTTACCTCTGGAACATTTCACAGCACAAAAGGGTTGAAGACCCCCATGCTCCGTTCCTGGATGTGGCCTCTAAGGACGCATGGCAGGACCCCCACCACACACACCAGCTGTCACAGCCCTGGCAGAGGTGGAGATAGCTGAGATGTGTGACCAGCTGCTTCACTCATGGTATTGCTGCTGGGCAAAAGTAAATTTGATCCTTTCATTGCATTAGCAGCTTTCCCTGTGCCTTGCTCTCCTTGCTAGCATTGGAAGGTTCCTTCCATCATCTGTGAGTTGTCCTTTGCATTGGGGCCACAGCTGGTGGATGGACTGGCAAGAAGGACCAAATGCCAGCTGAAAGCAAGATGGGATGGGAGTTCAGTGAGTGCATCTGGGTTCCCTTGTGACAGCATGGCAACCTGGAGATGCACATCCACCTTTAGGTTACAAACACAAGTACAGCTCAAGTGTTCACAGAGCTTGGGTCATTGCCTTGCTTTGGGGTTTTTTTATGTCTCACCCTGACGTGTGACCAGACCGTGCTCCTGCAATGGGGGTGGTTTGCACTCATATGCAAAGATTTCATGGAATCACAGAATCCCAGAGTGGTTTGGGTTAGGAGGGTTCTTAAAGCTCATCCAGTCTCACCCCCTGCCATGGGCAGGGACACCTTCCACTATCCCAGGTTGCTCCAAGCCCCATCCAACCTGGTCTTAGACACTTCCAGGGATGGGGCAGGCACCAATCTGTGCCAGTTTGCATCCAAGGCATCACTCTGAGCAGTTTATTCCAGATCAATGGCCACAACACCTCTTGCAGCAGCAGGGACCAAAATCCCCTTTCAGGCTGCTGTGTGAGGCCACCTTACATATGGCAGCAGGGCAGGAGATCCTCTGCACTGAGAAGGTGGCTCATGTCTACACGCTTGCAACTGCTCATAAAAACCAGAGCTGCCTGTCCAGCCATTCCACTGGCAGCAACAGGATATTTCAGAGTTTTGAATTGCAAATTCTGCCCCTGCTGCCACATTGTCAATGTGCTCCTAAGGCTGAGATAGGCAACAGACCAGTGGGAGCAACCAGAGACAGCACTACATGGGTCCTGCTCTGCATCATATGGGGACCTCGAGCAGGTATTCAGCAAATAATGATTAATTACAAAAAATTCTCTAATTATGCTTTTCCTTCAGGGAAAGGCAGAGATCTGTTTCTCTAGATTTACATCCAAGTAGCTCAGTTCATCAGCTCCTCCAATATCCAGGATTGCTTTCCCACTACAGAAGTGAACCCAGCAAGAAATATTGTTGGTACAACAAAACAAATTATTTCTACCTCACACCCACAGCCAGAGCTGTAATTCCATCACAGAACAAAGGTCAGGAGTCTTCCTCCTTTCACATAATTCGTCTTTGACAGCTCATCAGGATCAGAGGAGGTAGAGGTTTTAACTCAAAGGATGAAATCTTGCTTTGCAAGAGGCACTCAGAGCATCTTTATGAGTCTCTGTTTCAGCGCTGTGCAGGTATTCACGAGCCTGGAATACACAGTTATTGATGAATTTATTTGCTAGTGGAAAGTGATACTTGCCTGTGAAAAATTATAGTGGTTTCTGCTCTAAAGAAATACCTCTAATTACACTTCACTTCAAGGTGAGATGATTATACCTGGAACTAGGACTGAAATTCCTGAATTACACACTCACAGAAATAATAAAGACAATAAAAAATGTTGTTGAAACAGGTTTGTTTGTTTTTTTTCCTGAATATTCACCAGTTTTCAAAAATTACAAAACCTCAAGGACTGTAACAATGTAGCACTTGGAAAAAGAGGCTGATGTGTACAAAAACAAGCATGCTTTTGTTTTAGGAGTGGGGAGGGGTTTATATTTATCTGGGTCCTTTTCTTTCTCCACCATAGTGTGAAAGAAAAAAGTACCAGTTTATTTAACAGGATAGCTAAGGAAAATAAGAAAGAACATGCTTTCCTTATTACAAAACTACGAGAAGATGCGTGCTCAAGGTCCAAAACACAACAGACTGACATTTTTTTAGCATGCAGACTTTGTTTTATGATCCACATGGCGTTTCCCTTCCCCTGCCCCTCTCAAAGATGAGGTCTGTACTCTGTATTTTGCTTTTTTGTAACGACTTATTTGCCTTTTTTTTAAGCCCTAAATCCCAGGTAGCCGTATCCAAGGTAACAGCAGTAAAGAGTCCAGATCTCCACATTATCACTGTTTCTGCAAGTTTCATGCAAAACTTAAGCTGTTTCTGCATGCAACACAATGCTGGTCATTTACTGTGCTTCACACAGCTCTGGGGTGGTTTCCCTATTCACCACCACAGTTTGTTGGCTGGGAAGAGCAGGTTTGCTTCTTCATGGACATAGACAGAATAAAAGACCCCCTCCCCTCCTTCCAGTTGCCCCAAATACATGGGAATATGCATCTCAACACCAGGTCCAGACAGTTCACTTGCCTACAAGAGCCCGGTGGCTTCAGTAAAGTCCCATGATTGCAGCACCCACATCCTTGGAAGGTCTTCGGTCCTTCACCAGGAAGTTAATCATGCTCTCCGACTTGATAAGCAAGTTGCAGCCCAAAAAGAAGATGCCAAACATCACAGTCAAGGAGAGGACGCAGAGGACAGCAATTTGCACCACCCTCGTGATGAAAAGGCTCCTCTCGTCGGGTGCCAGGACCAAGGAGCCGCCATCAGCTGCCAGCACTGTGCTGGTCCCATTGCAGCAGGCCATAAGCATCTGCAAGTCCTGAGTCCTGTTGGGGTCAGCTGCCTGCTCCAGGAGAGTCTGGTTGAAAACAGATCCATTCATGGCCTGGGCGTGACCCCAAATCCTGGGAAAGGTAAAAGGGAAGCTTAACAGGCCAGGGCTCGGCAGCTCCAAGCCACCTCCTGCCTTTCCTCTCTCAGCGCCCGGGATGGACAGGGAAATTCCTCAAGGCTGTGAGCAGGTGAGAAGCCAGTCCATGCAGCCTGGATGGCTGGATCCCAGATCCCTCCTGGAAGAGCGTTAGCACGAGCCCCCAAACAAGCAAAAGGAGAGAGAGAGAAAAGGAGAAAGGGACGTGGGGAAGAGGATGGCCCCAGGGATCACCCCATGCCCCCTGCCCTCCCAACCTGCCCCTGAAACACTGGAGTGGTGCTGCTGGACCCCGGGGGTTCTCCCGCGGGAGGGAGAGCTGGTGTCTGCCGGCTGGGAGCTCCACAAATGCAAGTTACAAGCTAAAAGTCTTCACCGTGCTCAAAGAAAAAACAGCAACTCCACCCCCTTCCAGCCTCCCCCCAGGCCCGCCTTCCTCCCCCTCCACATTCACCCTGCTGCCCACCCCTTCCCCATGATGCACACCCCATCTCTGCCCTGCCGTGGGTGCCTGCACCCACCCCTCTGCCACCTCCGGGTAGGGACTGACCCCTAAGGTCCTGCAGAGTGGTACCTAGCTCATCCCTCCCTCCAGCCCTCCCACCTGCTCCCAAAAGCATCCTGCATGGTCAGTGCTGGCAGATCAGCACTGCATCCCAGACTGCTGGCAGGTCCCTGTTCCCCTGAAGGCTCCTGTAAGCCTCAGGTCAGCGCTGCTGTCACAGATTTCTGCTTGCTGCTTCGTGCCACCCACTCCTTCTCCAAGCAGTGTAGCCCAATCCAGCCAGTCCACCCCCAGTCTGCTTGGTGATGCCTGTCCTGTTCCTCCAGAGAAGAGCTGGATCCAGCCCCTCTCTGCATCTTGTTCCTCTGACTGGGGGCTTCTTCCTCAGAGTACGTGGTCTCCCCCTCCTCCTTTTCCCACTCCCTGCAGAGGGGAGCTCTGCAGCTCTGCACCCTGATCTCTGCCCTGTCTCCAGCTCTGGGTCCCACAGCAGTGTCACTGCAGCATTCAGGGCCGGAGCATCACAGGGCCCTCAGCCCCACTAAGGCAGTCCCGGGGAAGCTTCACCATCATTCCCCACTCTGTGTCTGCCTAAGCTCCCAAAGTGACACCACGAGTCAGGATGTCCAGCTTGTCAGGCTTATTCCTGCTTCTGCTCATCCCAGGGCTGTGCCCACAGGACTGCCATGTCCCAGCTTCCAGGCTTTGCCCCTTGGCATTTGCCTGGAAATGTATCTGGATGACCCAGAGTAGCAAATCACCCCCAAAGCACAGTGTGAAAACCTTGTCCTGGTTTATCCATGTACCTATTGCCTTGTTTCCTTTGCCCAGCCCTCGAGAGGATTTTAATAAAACAGAAATGAGGATTGATGAGTTGTAGCCAAATTCTGGAGCGTGTGGCTGGCAGAAGGTATGGGCAGCTTGATGGGACAGTGTTGTGATCTTCCTATTGGGCAGCTGAAACCCCCTGCTCTACTGCTGTGACTTTAGGAGCTCAGAACTGTTCAGTACAGGCTTTACTTGTTGCATTTTCCTCCTTGTTCTGCATTTGGCATTTCTCTCCAGGTTGCTGCCCACTCTGCTAGGGCAGTTGCAGAAGAAGTTATGCAGGAAGGAGGAGAAAACCCTGATCCAAGGAGCATCTGCTTATGTTTTACCTGAGGGCCAGGAAAAATCCCACGGGAAATCAGCATCCCCAGTGCCCCAGCCTGAGTGGGAGATCCTCTCCCTGCATGCTCCCAGACTGAAGGAGTTTCTGCTCCCTCTGGTGGCTCCAGTTCCAGCATCTCTTCTCCATGCACACCCCAGCATGGATTTGGGTTGCACCCATTGCTCCTGGGTCACAGCCTGTGGTGATGGGTCAGCCAGGACTCCAAAACACTCCCGTGCTGGTGCCTGCTTTCATGCCACCAGGGACCCCAAAATCTATAGCATCCCACTGCCTATTATGCAGTGCCTGGACGTAACGTAGATTGTGGAATCTTGGAATGGTTTCAGCTGGAAGGGACCTCAAGTCATTCTAACCCCCTATCATGGGCAAGGACATCTTCTGCTAGAACTGTCTAAAATGGCCTTGAACACTTCCAGGGATGGAACTTGCATATCCTGGCAATGTTTTCAGGACAAGCAGCACTTTCTTGCAGTTTGCAGGGAAATTCCACCCAAACATGTTGGGTTGAGTTCATTCCATCCTTGTCCTCAGGCAGGACCAGCTCAGGAAGGTGAAGGCAGGTCAAATACTTAATTTTGGGACTTTTTCCTTTTTCTTTAGCGTTTTTGCACCATGCTGAGAGTATCACAGCCCACACTGGGCGAGTATCACTGCCCACACTGGGCAAGGGATTCCTGGCCACACAGAGCTGCATGTCCTTTGGGAGCAGCAGCACTTCTCAGTTTGGGCAGCCAGGAGCTGGGCAGGACGAATCCCTGATGAAGAGGGCCTGGGAGATGGATGGTAGGCTGGGTCTGGGTGTGTGCAGAGTCAAACAGGATGCCATAGTCCTCTCTAGACAGTTAAGACTAATCTTCCTTTCCATGAAACACTCAGACACAGTCAGAGGATGACACAGCACATGGGGACAGGCAATGGTGTGGGTAGAAAGCCTCACATGATGGGAAGGACCATATAGGCAGCATGTCCAGGCAGGAGAATAAGGAATTTGGATGCCCTAAAACTGGCTAGTGGGATCTGCAGTGACACATAGCTTGGGATCTCAGCAGGTCAAGACTGGAGCTGTCCAGAAAGAGGTTTAGGATTTGTATTGATGTCTCAGCCAAGATATAGCCCTTTTAGATACTGCACAAGGGTTGATGGGCTTCTCCTAGTCCACTTGGCCAAATCCTCATTAACAAGCCCTGGGGAGAGATTTGGATCCCAGGCAGACAGTGACCCCGCTGAGGAGGACAGCAGCATCCTCGAGGTCGGTGGGGCTGGGTGGAGAAGCAAAGAGGCACCAAAACTTCTTTTAAAGCCAAGGAAGATCCCCAGGTCCTGAGGCAGAGTCTTTATCTCCACCTCATCCTCACAAAAAACATCACCTCTCAGGGACAGCTGCCAGCTCTGCGACAAGTGTTGCTATTTCCATCTCCCAGCATAGGGCTGTGGCTCTTGTACAGGTCTGTGCACATTGTCTGTAGCCTCCAGGATGTGGCTGCAGCTCTTGGCACTCACAAAAATTTGTATTCCACAGCTTGGTATTTCTGTGTGCTGGGTTGTCTTGACCCAGGGTTGTGTCATTACTGTTGCCAACCCCTGTCACCCAGTGGCAGAGAGTATCCCAGGGAAATGACTCCAGCCCTTCTCTCATTTTGCTCCTAAGGTGTATTCCAAGTGCTTGTTTCCCCTGCTCTGACTAGGACCCTAGTATTGCAGGGGAGCAAGAGGTTTATGAAATACCTTCGAGAGGCACCCACAGGCAGTTCTGACGTTTCAGTGAGCACAGTGCCTATGCAGATCCCAATCCTTGGATTTGCTCAGCATGGAATCAATTCCTGAGAACACAGAAGGGAAAAAAAATTCAAGTGAGAAGAAAATCAGGCCTAAATTATGTGTCCCCAAGCTGAGCTTCTGTCCCTTTGAGATGCCCAGGTTTATATCCAAACTGCTGGTTCCACCAGGTCCGGTTCCTGGCTGGGTCTCCCTCAGCTCCCAGCTCTGCTTTAGCAGGGATATTCCCTCTCTAGTGAGGGAACTGAGAATCCACACTTTTGTATTAGTGTGTATCTGCTCTATTTCTCTTTAAATCCTTGAACTCCAGCAGTTCAGACGGGGTTTAAAACCAGCTGCCTTTCAAGAGTTAATAAAAGAAAGGAGTGAGCAAGATTTTGTAAGGAATTTAAGCCAGACGGAAGAGCCGATGGGAAAGAGCCTGTTAGGAGCCCGGGGCTGCAGGTCACCAGTGCCGAGGAAAGACTCGCCGCCAGGGTTTATTAGGTCCTACTTTAACCCGAGTGAGTGAAAACCTCATAAGCGGCTGACGGCAGAGCGGGCGGGGACACTCCGGACTCCGAAGTGACGAGGCAGCAGTTTCCTCCGGCCGCCCCACTCGCCATGTGTGTCATTCACCCAGCCCCATGATTCATCTCCTCGGCCGCTAAAACCCTCCAGCTACTCCAGAGCTGCTGCCCATCACTCGTGGTGGGGCTGGTCCAAGCAGTGCCCCCAGCCCGGGGCTCCGAGAAGATGGGACAGCTCTCCGTGACACTCGGGATCCTCCTGCTCTGCGCTGCTGCCAGCTGGGGTAGGTTTACTCTGTCGCTTCTGTCACTGATTACAGCCATTTAGAGAAGATGTTGCCTGTTACTTCTACAAATCCCAAGGACTTTCTGCATTCCCAGGGTCTGTGATTTCATGGGAAAATCACTCGGAGGGGGTCCTGGCAGCCTGAGCTGCAGTGCGTTCCCACATACGAAGCACTGCTCAGGCTGTTTGGGCTTCAGCCTGGTCCGGGCCAGGAAGTTCTCATATAGGGTGTAAATGTATCACAGATGTCTCAAAGACATACTTTGGTGGGTTATTCTCACTGGATGTAGTGAGTTTATATCATCTACCTACTCTGTGTTTGGCTCTGGTTGCTGGTTTGTAATGGAAGGACTAGGGTGTGACTTGGGCTTCATCCTTTATAAACAGAAAATTCACTGGGAGAAATCATGCCAGGTAATCCCTCCCTGTGTCTGTACATTTTAAGGGCTGGGGGAGTGGGGGGGGTGGATTTATGTCAGCATTGCTGTACTCTGTTATTTTTCTCATGTTATTTTGATGGTTTTCTTTAAGAAATCTGATTTCTGTCATCAGAGTTTCTTGGGATAAATAAGTTTGTATTTTTAAAAAGTTTTTCAACGTCAGAGGTACAGAAAAGCCTGGAAAAGCATTATCTCCTCCCCAGGTATGTTCCTAGGGCTCAAAGGAAATCCTGAAACTGCAATATGGTGATTTACAAATCAGTCACATTGTTTTCAAGGCCAGACTTCGGGTTTGGGGCAACATTGTTCTGTCTAAAGAATTCCAGACTTTGGTGAATTCCCAGGAGCAGCCTGAGTCTCCAATCTGCTGCTAGATGGAGCTGTCATCAGTACAGGACATGAAATAACCCCTTCAAGAGTTTGAGTTCATAGAGCTGCAATTTGGGTCTGTGCACATGATATCTCTGATGCCTGTGCTCAGTTTGGGGTATCCCATTCCCAGGAAGATGCTGGCAGGAAGGGAGAGGCTCGAGAGAAGAAAGATCCCCAGAATGGTAGGGTGGGGATCAGCCAAGCCAGATCCTTATCACTTAGTCGAAGGGAAAGGCTGGAGAGGATGTGGTTTGTACCTTTATCAAATTTCCTCCAACGTCTTTGTCAAGTTTTCTCTGTGCTCATTCTTGCTCAA